TAGATACCAGGACATTTATATTTCATATATGTATTGTTTGTGGGAAGACCTTTCATTGGATACCAACATTCTTGACCTTTTGATTTTGACCTTGGAGATTTCCGTATCTATGAAAAAACTTTAACCTTGGCTATAACTTTTGAACAGTAAGAACTACGGCTTTCATACTTCACATATATTATTCTAATAAAAAGATTTTTTATTGGATACCAAGAACCTTGACCCTTTGACCTTGACCTTGGAGTTTGACCTACTTTAAAAAAACAACATTGACCATAACTTTTGAAGGGTTCGAGCTAGGGCATTCATATTTCACAAGTTTATTTCTTGTGGCAAGACCTTTCATTTGATATCAAGAATTTTGACCCTTTGACCTTTACCTTGGAGTTTGACTTACTTTTTACAAACAATAACCTTGACCATAATTTTTGAACAGTAGGGGCTAAATCTTTCATATTTCACATGTGTAATCCTTCTGACAAGACCTTTCATTGGATATCAAGAATCTTGACCCTTTGACCTTGACATTGGAGTTTGACTTACTTTTTACAAACTTTAACCTTGACCATAACTTTTGAACAGTAGGGGTTAGAGCTTTCATATTTCACATGTGTAATTCTTGTGACAAGACCTTTCATTGGATATCAAGAATATTGACCTTTTGACCTTGACCTTAGAGTTTGACCTACTTTTTTTCAAACTTTGACCTTGAACGATAAGGGCCAGCGCTTTCATACTTCCCATACGTAATCTTTGAGACAAAGCTTTTCTTTAGAACCCAACAACCTTGACCCTTTGACCTTGAAGCGGAGTTTGTCCTATATTATTAAATGTTAACCTTGGTCATAACCCTGGAACAGGTGTAGCTAGCATTTTATATTTTGCATTTCTTGTGAAAAGGCCTTACTTTGGTACCAACATATTTGACCTGCATTAGAGAAAGCTTAACCTTCGCTATGTTGCCATACGGGGGCATCAGTGTTTCACAAACACATCTTGTTTCACAAGTAATTGTTGCCATGGTTTAGCCATCATGTTGCTATGCACCACAAAGGATTTGGGAGTTTGGAATTTTTTAACGTGGACTCATCAAATTTTTTTGGAACAATGTGCAGATTTCAACCTGAACTTCCTCTGGTCGTACACGTTAGTCTGTTGAGATCGCGTACTAGCGAGCGGCGCTTCGATCTGCCTCGCGGCGCTCGTTATTAACTAAATGATATAGGGCATCCTGAATTATGTGTGTAGCCATATTGGGTGGGGTTAGGTTGGTGGGTGGGGTGGGTGTTTTAATGAACTCCTTATCTATCGTTTCTTCGTACTTTTTTGATCATGCTGTCATTTTGATCTCTTTATTCTAAGTAAAAAAAAGTGTTTGTTCTGTAACTTCGGCAAACAACAAGACTGATTGATTGTAAGTTGTTTTAGTCCCTCTCCAGGATTTTTCACTCATATGGAGACACTACCAGTTGCCGATGGAGCAGTAAGGGATCTTTTGCGACACGGGACCTTGGTTTATACGGTCTCATCCAACAACAAAATATAATTTAGATAAGAAATAGCATAATACCATCAAATCTCAAAGTAAAAAAGTATTTTTTTAATTTATTCATAAAAATAGTTCATTTAATCATCTTAGCCAACACCAACTTCCAAACATTGATGGAAATTTTTACCAGAGTTTGATTCTCATCACTTGACATATGGGCGGTAGCCAAATGCATAGTACCAAAATTTGGCACACGTCTTTTTTTGTTTACATGTACATACAAAATGTATGTAAAAAATCACTGATAGTGAACACTAGACGACACGTGTTGGTATATGGATTTTGAGACGAAAGAAACACTACTATTTCTATGTGCGTCTATGATGAATCATTCAGAAATGCCTGTTTTTTTTTTCTACATAAGGTTGGGCGAAATATATACTTCCTCACAACAGAACAACTATGCTTTGCTGCATTGAAATGTAGGTTTTTCTGTAATGAATCATTCAAAGATTTTTGATATACAAGTAATTTCTTCATAAGGCTGAAAAAAATAATAACTTCCTTAATGTAGCACTTATGACTTTCTGCTTTAAAATGCAGGCTCTAATGATTAAGCTATTTTTTATATTAATACTTATAATTACTGTTAATCATGACTCCAGTGTAACATTAAATACAACAAGGGAATGTTAAATTCATTATTTAATTCAGAATACTTTATTCAAGTACCACTTTAAGCTATTAGGGAAAACCAAATGTATTTCCATTTATTTTTATCAAGATAATAAAGAAAAATCATGATAAACTTGTTGCAATACAGCTGTTTTTTAACACGTCACATAGGTGTTTAATTTCAAACTTTGTTTTATATTAAATAAACTACCTTGGATTTTTCGTGAGAAACCTTAAACGAAAAACAGGCCACGATCGCTGATCCTTTTAAAGCTGTAACATTTTTGACATTTTTTTCAAAAAAACTTTGAGAAAAGTCGAAAATGTAAAAAAAGTTTACATAGAATAGACACTGACGGAAGAGAGACGCGATCAGAAACGCTTACTTGAGCCTTCTGCTTAGATGAACTAAAAACCAATTACTTATTTTAAGTGCTACGTGCTATATCAGTGATCAGTCTTTAGACATGATAACTAGTAAACTTCCGTTCTCCAGCATTCACTTCCGTCCTTATATTTACTGTAGTACTTATCCTTCACGGTATCAATTAGAGACATTCCCCTCCCTCCAAATTGACAACCTACTTTCTTATGTTTCCTGTTCATCCTGGCTTTTCTCGTTTATTTTAAGAATATGTACTTCATTTTCATTTCCTCATGTTTATCCTGTTCAGTGTAAAGAAATATAACATTTGGCAAATATTACATAATTATGTTTAAACAAGTTTGCACAAAAAAACCTGTGTTTTTTGACGCAATTGTGTTTATTGAAAAAGAAATGATTATAGAACAATTCATTCCAAGTGTGTATTTAAGTTTGCCCTATTATTGGTGTTGAAATAAGAAAAAAAGATTATATATAGTATACAGTCATCTATCTGTATCCTAAGAAGATCGGTATATTCAAATAATAAATATAATTTCTATCTCAAGGTTAAAATTTCTCAGATCAAAACTTGTTATTTTTCTAAATCTATTTGAAACAAAGCTCAAATAATAATGCACGGTTTAAGGGGCACTTATAATGTTTTGTTATTACTTTATATTTACATCCGCTGAATATTTCCTCCTTTATTTCTTAAGAAAACCCATTGCGTTAATCACTGCATGAACTTCATTCGGCATGTCTCCTGTACAGATTTCTTGATCAGTAGCTGTTCCATCAATGAAACGTAAAAAGACGTTCGCATAATTAATAAAATAATTAATCTTTCTAATCCTACTTTAAATGATTATTTAATTAGATATAAAAATAAACAAAAAATGTTTTTCATTGTTTGTTATTACTGGAATTAACGGTCGCAGCTATTGCAGAAAAATTTACATAACCCGCTTACGCGGGTTATGTATTTTTTCTGTAACAGCTGCTTCCGTTAATTTCAGTAATAACAAACAAAGAAAGCATTTTATTGTTTAAATGATGTTGCTCTTTTTTCCTGAAAATGGTTGATTCTGCAACCTATATTGTCTTTAAATATTTCAAATAATATATAGTTTGGAACTAAATGTGTAATTAAACATCACTGCTAGTGTCGGCCAATAAGCTACAGATGTTTGCACTGTTTGGTGGCACTAAGCAGGGATAACTAAACAACCTGACAGTAATATACAGAGATGTTCACTTTGTCAGTTAAACAATATAAAATCAATCAATACGAGCATAATTTTAATAAATGTATTGTTTTCACATCATGTCATTTATATTGATCAAATTGGAATTTTTTTTTTGTTTTTCCACACCCCCTTCATTCTATAGATTCTTGAGAGAGACGGAAAACAATCAATCAATCAAAATTCTTTATAAGCTAATATTTAAACTTTCTTGACGTTTTATGAGGACTGTTTCTGCTTTCTTGGGACTTTATCCAACTCATTTTTTTCATTTTTACTCGGATGTATTTTAGATTACTCTAAAAAATATTTGACATGATATTGTATGTTACAGTGCAATTCCTTCATGTAGAATCCAAACTGTTCTATAGGAAAACTGGCTTTAAGGTTGCAATTTCTTAGATCCTGTGAAATTTCTGTAAAAAGGTAGTTTAAAAATTATTTTATAAATTTTGTGACGATGAGTTGATAGCTATAAATACTCTTAAGTACAAAACTATGAATCTGTTGAAATGAGTACACCTGAAGAGACATTATGAGTACAGGTTTCATGGTAAATTTTGAAATGAATATTTTGTCACATCTAGAGAAGAGGAATAACAAAGAAAGAGATTTTAGAACATTTAAATTTTAATAAGAAAAATGATTATAGATGACATTAAAACAGCAAGCAAATACATAATTAAATTCTTGATTAATCTAGAAATGGCAAAAAAAAAAAAAATGTACCAAAAAAAAAAACTTAAAGAAAAAAAAAATAAAATAATTGCTTCTCCAAATCCCCGAAAAAGACTTGTTGATACAATTGTCCGTTTATTAAAGAAAACCTAAGTAAATGTTACAATTAATGAATAAGTATGATACGTCATTTTTCAAAATCAAATGAAGGTACGAGGGGTAATCAAAAAGTTCGCAAACTAATTGAAGAACTTCCATACAAGAAACAATATTTGGTTTTAATGTTGATTATATTTTAAACTAATCCTCCCCGATTTTATTGCACATCAACCACCGTTCTGAAGATGAAAAAGAAGGTAAACAATTTTGACAATCTTGTAAACGTCCGTCTTCTATGGATATAAGTCAGAGAAGAGGAAGAGATACGCACCCCCAGACGGACCAACAAATATTTAAATTTAATTGAATGAGGCCGAGACTAATTATTTCAACTTTTGAAATTTTGATAAATTTTCTTGAAATAAGTTTTTAAATTATTTTTATTATTTTGAGATTAAAAAATTGAGCGCTTATCACCCTGTTTGTTTTCTGATGGGGCCACTTCAAATGTTGAAAACTTTTATTATTGAACCCTATGGGAATTTTTTGAAAAAAGCTCCAAAATATCATATATACATGTAACATGTTGTGAAAAACGAAAAATAAGCTGGCGAATATACAACAAGACTTTTTTTTCAAATGAATGACAATACACTGATCTTAAATATATTTACGTTCTAATTATGTGTTCTAACAATTAAGAAATGATGATTCCTGATTATATATTAGACGACAATAAGTCAAATAGAACAGCTATAAAATCATCGTCTTGGATGAATAACTTTTTATTTAAAGAATGTACAGTGAATAGGAAATAGTTAATTCGTACATGTACACGTACATTTGTAAGACGGTATCATCCGAAATATCGGATTCCTCCTCCTACAATTGGATTCGAACCCTTACCGTAATGATCATCTCTTTACTTCTCGACCCCAGAGCAGACTTTCTAATTACTGCTTCACGTAAATGAAACTGGAATAACATTCGTTGAGATTTCAGTCATGCACGTTCAGAACCTGAAGTAATCAATGAAGGGCACAAATGGAGATAACGAACACAAAATTAAAAAAAAAAAGAAGTAAAAATAAGTTTATATTTACAACATATTGTCCTACTCGGACGACCTACATGTACATGTAAGACGGTCAAGATGAATACCAGACAACGGATGGATGATCAGAAAAGCTTCCTTAAGCATTATATCATAAACACATTTAAGCTACATGTACATGTAACGACGAGCAAAATGGATGCACATATATATCAATAGTTCTATTAAAATCATGTACTTAAATTTTGTATTTTTAAAAGCCTATAAATGTCGTTCAAGTGTTGGCATAAACGTTGTCAAAGGTCACAAGGTCACACATCGTTTTGACACAAAATTCATATTCTTCCTGGAAAAGAAAAAGAAATCTAAATTTAATTTCAAAAACTGGAAAGATATATTTTACAAATGTTCAAATGCAAAGCATCTCTTATTAAAACGTTAGAACAATGCATATTCCAATTCATGTCATAAGATATTCTGAACAAAATCTACCTTGCTGGATATCATTTGCGGTCTGCGACACTGCAGTTGTTGAATAATAGTGAAAAGGTCCAACAGGTTATCCTGTTGTAGCTGTTCTATTGCATTATATACAGCTATGAATACCCCACAACAGATTGCACCATCTCTTTGGAAAATAAAAGTCATAAAATGTCAGATATATTATTGAATTGAATAGTATATGCAATTATATATATAGAAAAAGCTAGGTAATAGCTAGTTCATCTTTTTAAAAAGCAAAAATTAATGTAAGGGCACAGAAACGAGATTATTTCTCCACCATTACATTGTTCATATTAACTATTGTACATACATGGAAGTCAGAATTATTGCTTCTACATGTAAGAACATAGATTAATATTTTTCTCAGCCAAGTAAGGATCTTATTTGGTTTGTTAATATTTCCCTTCCATTCTATCTATTGATTTTCTGTTTGTATTTTTTTATTAACTGAAATATTCAGCTTCTTTTTTTTTTTTAATCTTGATTCTGCAGGTTTTAGGATTAAAAATTTTGAACTTTCTATAATAGAATCACAAGAAATGCAGAACCTTATAGTAATAATTAAAAATGCGTCTAGGGTTCCCAAGAGAAAATGCATATTTGGCGAGGTGAAAGCTAAGCCCAATATTCATCTTTTTATGGACACTATATATTCCGTGTAACCTGTCAAACTATCTACATCAATAATTAGCATGTTGCAATTGAAGATTCTTTTAAATTCAGTTCATTTTCTCTGAGTTAAACAAACGTTCCGAGATAGATGTTTGATTCTTAAAGATATGTATGCCGTGTTAAACAGTATTTTTGCACAGCTGAAACCGAACAAAAATTTCTGGAGTATGATAAGCTACCAAAAATGAAGCATTCTTGCAAATTCGACGAAATTTTATTCGGTATTAACAAAGTACTGGTCAGGAAAAGAACACGATATTCTCATGCATATTTATAAAGGACTGACGTTTATCCTGGATCTGCGCATGTGCGCGGGAAAAGCATCGCGAGAATCATCAGGTCGAGGAAAATATTTTTTGTGACGTCTGTTTAGTGAGGGACATGAATAGACCAATCAGCTCAATGAGTTTCATTTAATGCATTTATGGGTTACTACATAAAATACTACATGTGTTTTTCAAAAAGGCTAGTTTTTTAAATCGCTCTCAGAAAGACCTGTTGGATTATGAACATTATTATCCACTTATCCCATGCTCATATTTGCATACAAATGATTAACAATGATGAAAATTAAAGTTTTCCCCACTCCATTGTACAGGTCCGTTTGTTTAGAGTTTCCCCGTGCTGTACTGCTAGTGGACATTTTCGGTTGGGTGAACATTTACGGATCTTCAGTATGGAGCGCATCATGCGCAAAAAATATTTCATGTCAAATACAATGTATGGAAAGTAATTTAAACTGCTATGTTTACACCCTGAATGGGATATCGTCATTATCCTTTTTGGCTTTTAATATGAACTACATAACATATGTAGATGAAACTTACATACCATACATCTTGCCTTCTTAGAAATATAGTTGGGCTAATAAAATAAAATTGGTCAAGGAATTCCAGGCCTCTAAAAACTATTCCAGTTTGAGGGCACAACCAAGCATTTTGATGAACACCATTAAGAAAAATTAATTCAGGTAGGTAGCATCGGTTTTTTTTTTAAAGTGGGTGGGGGGGGGGGTAGAACAGTTAGAATAAAAATCAACTAGCTCGAAGAAATCTGACAAGTAAATTAGGTTCCAATATCTTTCACTACTAAATTTTATTCATTCACTACAATTTACTGCCAAACTCCAAATTTCACTTTCGAATTAGCCCGAGCCAATGCTGATAACCTACTTGCAAGATTTTTTATATTATTTTCAAGGGGTCAGAAATACTGTGGTTCATATGTAAAGAATATAAATATATTATTTAGTAGTATTCTGGTTTTGGCATTCGGTATATTGTGCAGATTTATACATGATATTCTGTGGAATACTTTTTGTTGTTTTGAACCATTAAGAAATGCAGAATCGAATGTATCTAATAACCATTTTGATTGATCAAATTATATTATTTGTTTGTATTGGTTATTTCATTTTGGCACAACATGTTTTCCACACTTCTTTATCCATAGTCGCTGACAGCTGTAGAAGTTCATCCAACCGAAAATGTCCATTGAAAAGACAATTGCAGGTGATTATTCCTCGGTACAAAAAGCAACCAACTCTGAGGTGCTCACAATATTGACAATCCCTAACTCACGTGTTTGTAGTAAAAACGTAGTAGACCATCATGCTTTTCGGTTCATTCACGAGTTTGGACCATTGTTTGCTGTAAACATGCGAGACAACGTGGTCATGAATATTTCAATAAGAGGCGGTTTTTTATCCGACACGGAGAGAAAACAATTTTTACCAAATAATATTTCGTAACTTTTAAAAGTGATGGAGTGGAATTGTCTTATTTGCAGAAAGTATATAACTTATATAACTTGATGAGACACCACATATATTTATTACTTTTAAAATAAAACACTAATACGGCATATATAGCTTTAAATAACGTTAGTAATTTAGTAAGTTCCTTTCGACTTTTAATGAAAAGCCAAATTTTGAATACGATTTGAAGGAGGTATATTGAATTAATATGTGATCAAGAGGTCACGTGACATGGTGAACCAAAACACCATTCCAAAGAACCCGATTCTTTTTTATCGGAAGCAAGATTAGAATAATGCATACTCGGCTTGATTTATCATTCTGTGTCATGCTGACACATCAACATTAGCCAGAGGACAGCTTTAACAAGAGGCCCAGGGGCCACAGCGCTCACCTGAGCACATCGGGCTTGAATTTATCCCCCCCCCCCATCCAGGCGTTCATCATTTGAACAAATTAGAATCTACACTACCTGAGGATGATTCCATATAAATATCACTTATCATAGCTTTGAAGTACTTGAATAGAAGATTTTAAAAGGTTTCCCTATATATCCCTATGTAAAACCTGGGTCGGCCATTTTGGCCCCACCCTAGCCCCGGGAGTCATGATTTGAACAAACTTGAATCTACACTACCTGAGGATGATTCCACATGAGTTTCATCTTTTCTGGCCCAGTGGTTCTCGAGAAGAAGATTTTTAAAGATTTTTCTTATATATTCCTATGTAAAACTTGGGTCGGCCATTTTGGCCCCACCCTTGCCCTGGGGGTCATGATTTGAACAAACTTGAATCTACACTACCTGAGGATGATTTCACATGAGTTTCATCTTTCCTGGCCCAGTGGTTCTGGAGAAGAAGATTTTTAAAGATTTTTCCTATATATTCCTATGTAAAACTTGAGTCGGCCATTTTGGCCCCACCCTTACCCCGGGGATCATGATTTGAACAAACTTGAATCTACACTACCTAAGGAGGATTCCACATGAGTTTCATCTTTCTTGGCCCAGTGGTTCTGGAGAAGATTTTTAAAGATTTTTCTTATATATTCCTATGTAAAACTTGGGTCGGCCATTTTGGCCCCACCCTTGCCCCGGGGGTCATGATTTGAACCAACTTGAATCTACACTACCCGAGGATGCTTCCACATAAGTTTCATCTTTCCTTGCCCAGCGGTTCTGGAGAAGAAGATTTTTGAAAAATGCCATTAATCTTTAACAAATTCATGATTATCTCCCCTTGGAAAAGGACGTGGCCCTTCATTTGAACAAACTTGATTTCCCTTCACCCAAGGAAACTTTGTGCCAAGTTTGGTTGAAATTGGCCCAGTGGGTCTTGAAAAGAAGATGAAAATGTGAAAAGTTTACGACAACGACGACAACAACAACGACAACGACGACAGACAACGGAAAAATTTTGATCAGAAAAGCTCACTTGAGCCTTCGGCTCAGGTGAGCTAAAAAGGTGTATGTCTTATTTTGCTTTCAATTTCCTCGTTAAATTCTTACATGTAGCAATAAAAAGATGAACAGATCAACAAGAACAAATAAAGCATAAAGAAATAAATAATTACTGATCAGCTTATCCTTAAAAGAATCCTAATTTACAATTAAGAGAATGGAAGTGAAAAATAAATTTGTGTCGGTCCTGCAGATCTATATCCACCCTGCAGTATCTGTGTTAGCCCTGGAAGCTAATACGACTTCTGTAAAACATATCATATATCAGAAAACCTTGGACCAAATCACACATTTGAGTATCTATATATATATTGTACATAGGTGCACTAGATACAACACATACAAGAGGCCCAGGGGCCACATCGCTCACCTGAGCAATTGGCTAGGGAAAAACACAGATCAGATCATAACTGAAAGTAAACTGGGGGGGGGGGGGCTTGAATGCTACATCCCCCCAGGGGGTCATGATTTGAACAAACTTGAATCTACACTACCTGAGGATGATTCTCTATAAAGATAACGAAGCCTGGCTTTGAAGTACTTGAAAAGAAGATTTTAAAAGGTTTCCCAATATGTTCCTACGTAGACTTTGATCCGCCATTTTGGCCCCACCCTACCCCCGGGGGTCATGATTTGAATAAACTTGAATCTACACTACCTGAGGATGATTCCACATGAGTTTCATCTTTCCTGACCCAAAGGTTCTTGAGATGAAGTTTTTTAAAGATTTTCACTATATCTTCCTATGTAAAACTTTGATCGGCCATTTTGGCCCCACCTTTCCCCCGGGGGTCATGATTTGAACAAATTTGAATCTACACTACCTGAGGATGATTCCACATGAGTTTCATCTTTCCTGACCCAAAGGTTCTAGAGAAGAAGATTTTAAAAGATTTTCCCTATATATTCCTATGTAAAACTTTGATCGGCCATTTTGGACCCACCCTACCTCCGGGGGTCATGATTTGAACAAACTTGAATTTACACTACCTGAGGATGATCCCACATGAGTTTCATCTTTCCTGGCCCAGTGGTACTTGAGAAGAAGATTTTTAAAGATTTTTCCTATATATTCCTATGTAAAACTTTGATCGGCCATTTTGGCCCCACCTTTCCCCCGGGGGTCATGATTTGAACAAATTTGAATCTACACTACCTGAAGATGATTCCACATGAGTTTCATCTTTCCTGGCCCAGTGGTTCTTGAGAAGAAGATTTTTAAAGATTTTTCCTATATATTCCTATGTAAAACTTTGATCGGCCATTTTGGCCCCACCCTACCTCCGGGGGTCATGATTTGAACAAACTTGAATCTACACTACCTGAGGATGATTCCACATGAGTTTCATCTTTCTGGGACCAGTTGTTCTTGGGAAGAAGATTTTTTAAAAATGCCATTAATTTTTCTCTAATTCATAATTATCTCCCCTTGGAAAAGGGCTTGCCCTTCATTTGAACAAACTTGAATGCCTTTCACCTAAGAATACTTTGTAGCAAGTTTGGTTAAAATTGGCCCAGTGGTTCTTAAGAAGAAGATGAAAATGTGAAAAGTTTACGACAACGACGACGACAACGACGCCAAAGACGACAACGACGACGACAGACAACGGACAAATTTTGATCAGAAAAGCGTTCAAAAGCTCACTTGAGCCTTTCGCTCAGGTGAGCTAATAAAAAAATATTCAAACGATAAGGCAGAAAACGTACTTTGAGATGACGGTTATATGTCCTTCTTTTTCAGCTTTGCGATCAAGGTTGAATTGTTTGATTAAATCTCCAAGTGTTGATGCTTCTTGAGGAATCCTATGGCTCATATCCCAATTCAAACATTCAAAAATATGCACTTTGTGAATTCCACTGTAAACCTTATTGCAAGGAAAGGAATCTTAATCCATGTACAAACATTGTAACTTGAAAATACATGTTCACATGTAACTTCACATGAAAATTTTAAACGAAACCAGAAGTCTCTGTCCAGACTGAAACTCTACTGGTTTGTACTTATAACAAAGGATGAGAAAAGAAACCATTGCCACTAGACCAAAACTGTAGAAGGAGTAACGTTTTAAAGGAACTTCACAGAAAATTCTATTTTCAGTAACCATGGCAACACCATTCATCGAAATCAAAAAACCGATGCACTATTTTATGTATCTAAGTGTAGTCTACTTGTGTGCCAAGTAATACTGAAATCAGATGAAAACTGTAGGAGTAGCGTTTTAAAGTAGTTTCACAAAAAATTCTATTTTTAGTAACCATGGCAATACCGTTGATCGAAATCAAAAACCGATGCACTATTTCATGTATCTTAGTGTAGTCTACTTGTGTGCCAAGTTATATTGAAATCAGATCAAAACTGTAGAAGGAGTAGCGTTTTAAAAGAGTTTCACAGAAAATTCTATTTTTAGTAACCATGGCAACAACGTTCATCGAAATCAAAACCCGATGCAATATTTTATGTATCTTAGTGTAATCTACTAGTGTGCCAAGTTCTACTGAAATCAGATCAAAACTGTAGGAGGAGTAGCGTTTTGAAAAATTGTTTACAGACAGACGGACAGACAGACGGACGGACGACAGACACCTTACTATCGCATAAGCTCTTCTGGTCTCTGACCAGTAGAGCTAAAAACTCTAAAATAAAGCATTTAACTTATCAAATTAAAGCAGTTGTCGATAGGGCTTCTCACTCAAATCATATTCCAATCTTTTAGACATATATCCTTATTTAAATATTTAGCAATGCACGGCGAAAATTCAACTTTTTAAACTGTGTTCCCCAAAGATGACAAACCTTCAACTGTTTAATTTGAAGACTGGTTTTTCTTATTCCATTCGATAATGTTGTTTGTTTTTCCTTAGTGATTTCATAGGAATCCAGCTTTATAATTTCTTCTTCAACCAAGCCTTTTAACTACAACAAATACAAAAATTAGATCATCAGGGCACATCCAATGTCTTCTCCTATAAGATATGGATACTAGTAAATCTTCCTCTCTATGATAGTCCAATAATGTTTCGATAGAGATTCTTTCCGCCCTGTTCAGTATATTTAAATTTTAGTTTAAGCAATCTTTTATAATAACGCATTTCTTGGCGTATAAATATATATATAGACTACTTCAATGTATAAAATCTTTTCCATATAACATTCTTGTCAGCCTGAGACATCAGTATCAGCCAACGGACCAAAGGCTCGAGGACTAATATTAGGTTGATATATAATGTAATATGGAAAGGGTATGTTTATTACAAACTTAGTTATACAAGCTAAGTAAGATAATTTGGATCCGTGTCTAAGTAAATTGGATATTATTCTTGTCATATTTTATCAAATATGAACGCCCTTCATTAAAGATAATCATCAAATTTAACAATTTTTGAAACTTTTTTTTGAAAAATCAAGCTGAAGGTCAAGTTTAACAATCACAGCATGGTCAAAAACATCTTATAAGAAGTATATATATATATATATATATATATATATATATATATATATATATATATATATATATATATATATATATATATATATATATATATATATCATTCTTTTTGTAGTATCAACACTAAAAAAGAATTTTTGAAAGGAGGAGAAACCCCAAGGTCCAGTTCAAAATTCATATTATATTAAGATAATCGAGACATGGTTACCCAACTCCAGAAACATCCCTATCCGACTGGTCTCTCGTTGTCCTTACAGTAACGTTATTTCAAAATAATTACAATTTTCAGAGTCATTTTGAAAGATATAAATGTATCATGTGATGTGTTATCAACATATACATGCATATTTAAACAATGCATTAGTCTTGAAACTCCATATCAAGCCAGCGGCCGGTTCTATACCAACCTCATATACTGTAATGGCGATTGCTACATGTACATCAGGCATATATTGGGAAAATTTCACGTATCTATTACTAAGTATACAATAAAAAGAAAGCAAGCACCACGGTTACCTCATTATCATCAGAAAGCGGATTCAGAGAGATAAGGAAATGTGACTCCTGGTCAACTAGCAGACGAATGAGATCAACAATCGCCCCAGGAACTGGAAATTGAGCGGAAATGAACTCTTCTGCTCTGCTAAATGACTACACATAAAAATAAAAGCATCAAGTAGATAAAAAAAACTTCATACAAACATTAAAAAAAGGTATTACTTGGACTTTATGCATTTAATATACAAACCGATACTGTGACTGCGTTGTAATATTGTTCTCTTCCAGGTATGTTTGATGTCAAGTACACCAAATATTTTTCAACTGTAAAATTTGTAAAATTAATATGATTTCGAAATTATACATAATTATAATATTTGAAAATATATATGTTTTTTTTTTTTGTTACCTGGTAAAATATCTCTAACAGCATTGAGTTTTGCATACTTCTTTCCAGTTTTAAATTCATTGTAGCTGTATTTTGGTCTCAGATTTGTAAGTTCCTAATAAAACATTTTGTGATATATTATATATCATTTAATTTAGTGCTAAGAAGAAATCCTGTTACATGTACATGCATCATTATCATATGTAGACAAGTTAGGCAAGAAAAGAGGAACAGCACGAGTCAGCAAAAAAGATAATTATTTTTCATGTCTAAAAAAGGTACATTTTCTTAAATCATTCGAAATAATGAAAACGTTTGTTGCATGTGTTTTCTAATCATGCTAAAAGAGTAGGTTTCCAACCATCTGTGACAATTACCCGACTCAAGCAATATACTGCAAACGTATTATATTTGGCTGTGTATTCTTTTAAGCGCCTTTGGTGGAAAGAAATATCCGATAATGCAAGTACAACGCGAAATGTCTTTCACATTTATTTATAAATAACATTATTTAGAAATGTGCCAAATGAAATCTACGCTAACTTGTTCAAAAATCAATTTCCGCCTAATATTGTACATGTTAAATATAATACATTTACAGTATATATCTTTAAATTATATATTTATATTAATTGAACGAATATTTCTAAATGATAAGGCTTCAGGTTTATTTTCGTCTTAATTAAGTAATAAGGTATCATTTTTTGAGTTTTATTGAGATGTAAAACGGGTTGGTCACGTGATCAAATCCCATAAAGCCCGAAGGGCTTTATGGAAGATTTGATCATGTGCCAACCCGTTTTTCATCTCAATAAAACTCAAAAAATGATACCTTATTACTTATATTTACATTTGTGACTTATTCAAACTTTATATTTGCCTGATTGATACTTTTAACGTGTGAAATGCGTTAATTTTTCAAACCCAACGGCATGTATGTCATCCACTAAACGCGCGTCGACCCCTTATGACGTCACAGAGAAATTACGTCGAATGTTTATCCAAACGCACATCTATGACCTTTTGACCCCATACCTGTATTTATACAGTTATAAAAACGCTTGCCTTCAGTAGTGTTATATAAAGGAAAACATTTGCAAATGTAAATATATGATAATATTGCGGAACATACAGATATATTACATTATAATTAGCCAGTGTCTATAAGTAAATGTTTGAGTATGTCCTTTGTAGAAGATGTTTGATTATTACTATTGTTTAAGACAATGTCTCCTGAACAATTAATATTGACTTCTTTATTTTGAATCTATATCTCATTTAGCTGCACATTACATTTTATTATTCATGCATTAACGAACTCTACATGTTTTATCTTTGATTGTATCATTTTATGTAATATGTTGTTTGAAATTAGAAGGCCCCCGGGGAAGAATTGTACATTGTACTAATCGGGTAACCATCTCTAAATAAAGCATTATTAGGGTCTTTCGTCTCCAACGGAAGACCCTTCTATTATTGTATTGTTTCTTTTTCAATATTATTTTTTTTTTCGTCCAAATTTTGTGCAGACGATTTCTCAGAGATGCATGGACGGATTTCTTTGAAATTTTCAGAGATGATGTATCATGATCTAAACCTGATCCATTTTTTTTTTAAATTTTTGAAAAATCATTTCCGGTCGGAAGTTATCGACCTTTAATCGATTTTTAGTGACCATTTTGTCGACACAAAAACTCAAAAACGACAAAAGCTAGAATGTTGTCATTCTCAGGACTAATAGATGACATGTTGTAGTTTTGCATCTATACTTTCAAATTTTCGTCAGTGCTTCCGGTCGATACCGGAAGAGAAATTAAAAAAACCTCAATTTTGCAACTTTTTTTTGTTTTCCAATATTTTTCTTTGATATTAGATATCTTAACAGTGACTCTTTTGCGAATGCGAAATATGTAATTTGTTTTAGAATCGAAAAAGGCAATCTCGAGATTTTCGTATTTAAAAATTTGAAACGGTGTTTTCAATGGCCGAATGGTAAGTGTGTCGGATTGTCACGCGGGCGACCCGGGTTCGCTCCCCCGAATGTCCGATTTTTTTTTATCACTTTTTCTGCTAGGTTTTTCGTTTTTTACTTCAGAATCGGACGGAAGACCCCTCGTCACTCGCAACGAGATCGTATCTAGTTATTATAATTATCATTATTATTATATTGTTATATTGTTGTTATTATTATTATTATTATTATTATTATTATTTTAACGTATTGTTATTCATTCTTTCCAATCATATGTGTATCTAAATACATGTTCACATTAGTAGACTTGCATTGAATTCATCTGTCAGTAGTTTTCTGGTTTTTGGTCTTTCCGTATCTCCAAACAACTTCAAAAAATCCTCTTTTTTATTTAAGCTCCATTTTCGTCGGAAAAACTCATACAGCGCACGATAAAGGAACGCATACTGGTCCTACAAAATGTACGGAAATATTACCTTGAGTTCGTTTTCATTTTCATAACGTTTTAAATTATGCACTATTGTAAAAGCAAAAATATTCGTGGGGGATCAAATTTCATTGTTAACAAAATGCAACGAAATTAAATCCCACACATAATTTTATCTGACTATATATTGAATAGGGTTTGTTTAAAAACCACACAATTAAACGTACACGAAATTATCATTGATGACAAAACAACAAAATTTTATGCCCACTAAAATTTGTGCTTAATTCTACAGTGTTCAAATCTAAGAATGATTATATTCTACACCTATTTCTATCCTGTTATGAATAAATTGTAGAGGCCATAAAATGTAATACAATTATATATTTTCTTTCTCAAGTAGCATTTTGAACTCTTCCGAATATGTTTTCGTGTTGTTGTACACCTTGTTTAAGCATGCATATTACTTGAATCTTACAATGAAAAAGCTTACTGCATTTTGTATCATTGTCATTCGGTCTTTTCGCATAGCTTTAACGTACTCCACGACGTTGATTTTTCCTTTCTTCTCTCCGTACCTACACAGCACGTCTAGGGCTATAAATGTGCCAGTTCGACCAATTCCTGCACTATAATGCATGGACAATATCAATATATGGGTCTTACTCGTTGCCATGGCAACCGTGACGTCATTTTTCTCCCCGTAATTAAAAAGATTAGAATTTTACTTTCAGAAAATATATAGGTTGCTTTTCTGTAAAAGTGACTAGAAAATGTCGAAATTTGTCCTCGAAAGTTTTTTGTCAATTTTGCTATGAAAACGCAAAATCTCTAAGTTAGAGGGTTAATATAAAGCTTTGTAAACCATAAATGTAAAAGATGTATAGAAGAAGCACTTACAAAGTATAAAAAAACGTAAAACGTGATCATCATAGAAAATGCATGTACATTCATCTTTTTATTTGTGATATGTAATATTGAAAATGTGATCTTATGCAAAATTGTCGCCAGCATTATCCAGCAGTTAAAGCGTTTGTTTTATGTTTAGATGTTCGAATTTAAATTGTGGAATCCAATACTGAGATGAGACTGTATAAATCGATATTGTCATGCCAAAAATAGGATCCTTTCATGTCTCAAGTGCAGACTTTATGTCTAAAATTTAAGGCCCTAACTGTCAACTGGCGGTCGTCCTAATAAAAGTGAAACATTTCTGAATAATGTATCAGTGAAAGACATAGATCATGATGACAATTAACCTGCAATGCACGAGTATAGGATGTTGCGATGGTGGTACTGTGTGCCGGAATTGTCTGTGGAAGACAGCAAGGTCCAAAGGATTTGGAGTACCGTGATCTGGCCATTGAATGTAGTGAAACTGAACGAGTGTTCTCGACTCTGAAACCTAAAAAAAGAAAATTTACGTAAAAAAATAAAATTAACATTCAAAACACCAAACAACGACCCCGATACTAGTTAATGACCAATGTTATCAATACAGAAAATCATACTGAATAAATAACTGCTATAGACTTTTATAGACCTCTGCAACATTTATTGCTTAAGTAGTCTGAATTATCATTTATATCATTCATAACAAATGGTAATTTACCCCCTTTTTTCTAACAACCATTTTTCGTTCGATAAAGCATGCATAAACTTTCTCTTCCACTGAAGTTATCACAAATGGACCAGCATCAAGTCTCTTGCCATCATTTGGCCAATACTGATGGCACTTCACCTATAATAGTTAAATATGGACTGGTAAAATAATGTTCTTTTCAATTTATCATGCCTGCTGCATTGTAACTAGTTAGTGTTTTATATATGTTCATTTATTCAAGAATATCCACGTATTAAAGCAAATGGTAAAAGCCAAACCAATGATAATCAAAATAATGGAAAAAAAGTTCAAGATTTGTTTTAAGCATCATTATATCATGGAAGAAAAAAATTGCCAAATAGATAACTAATAGATCTGAAATACGTTTTATTTGCATCAAGCAAGATGGCTTGTCATGTGACGAAAATCCATGCAACATATAAGTAGAAATTGACTTTTAAAAGGCATTTTCATGTGTACTTTTGGTCCCTCTTTCAGGTTTGTCAACATTACAATGTAGTCAATGTGTTCCTGCCACACCATTCTCCAGTGGTCAACCAAAGTTACGGCCAGGGGTCCTGAAGCATACGGAAATAAAGATATCTTTAACAAAGAAACAACTTTCATTAGACCATTGAAAAATGAAAAAAATCCTTCCCAAGTAAAGATAAATAAAGGAGTCGGCCGGTTAGTGATTTTTTTTTTTCTCTTAGAAAATTTAATTAGAATAGGAAAATTGATACATTACAAGATTAACGAATATCTTAATTCTTGCAGGTTTAAAACAAGTTTTGGCATACTTACAAAGAAATTTTAAAATTTCCTTTCGTGTTTTTCAAGAATTTGTTTTGTTTTTAAGGCAAATCATTGATAGGTTTTGTTTTATTATATGATTACTCTTATAATTCAATTTAATTTGTTTTCCATTTTTTATTACCTTGACATGCAATAAATTCACTGTGTCCTTCCATGTTCTAAAAACAGATTGTGTTTTTATTAAGCAAGTTAAGAAAAAGATATGTTTTACCATATTCAGCAGCTTTTTTTTTGTATAGTTTTCTTAATAGATTGTGATCGAAAAAAAATAAAGTTGTTATCCTGAAAAAAAAAAATACCGCAACGTGGTTTGCATTTATGTAATCCGAAGTAAACCCGTCACTTCTTTGTAAAATAACTCTTGAATGATCATCTGAAAAAGAATTAAAATAAAAAAAATTACAATATTTTATTTAACATGTATAAAGTACAATTAATTTAAATCTTAATTAATCCTTTAAGGAGTGGGAAAACATTACTAATAATATAGAGATTTGAAAAATTATACAGAGCATTTTTGTAAAGATACTTTAAATATTCTTTTCATAAAAGAAGAGATACAGTCATGTAAACATTAATTGAGGAAAGACATATTCTGAAGAAATACCCCTTATAATTTCTCCGAATAAAAATTAAGAGAAGTTGCGGAAAGAAAATGTTTCATGTGAATATAAACAATGCAAATGTTTAAAATAAGCATTTGAAACCAAATGAATTAATGGAAAATATTTATAGTAATGAAACTTTATAATAATAATATATGTCTTTTATAAATTTAAATGGGTTATACAAAGTTATCCTTTAGAAATTAGCCTTATGCCAGTATTTGTTATATACATTGTCCACACATTTTTTCTCAGAGAGTCGTGGTCAAGCAATCCGTGTTCTGAAGAAGTGTTTCTTGATTTTATGTCCTTATTATGCTCCAATATTCTAAATTACGTACAAGGAAAAGTTGTTTTAAATCTATTCTTTGGAAAGTTTTCTTCTAGTTTAGCCGTTTCACAATCAAATCTTTCACCGTAAGGAAGATTCTAAATAAAAATTCATTTACATTTTAAAGTAATTTGTAATTAATATATTTATCAGAAATCAATTAATCGAATACAGGCAATAAAATACATTCTTATGTAGCATAATTTATTTTCAATGACGTATTTCCTGTTTTTATTTCTGCTTTATAAAGGTATTAATAACCTTAAATTGCTTCACAAAGCCCTCGTTTTCATTAGCTTCTTTGTGTTTAATTATGCTCGAGAGGTCTGACACTTTGATGTCTCTTGTAGTAGTAAGGTCGTTATAATACACAGCCTCGTCTGGATTTTCCTCGTATGGTTCCTCAGTTTCATCCTCTCTTCGAATTGTTACTCTTGGCAAATCAGTGCCGTTGAGGATTTCTAAAAAAGAAACTTCTAGTTGAAATATTAGTAGTGTATTAAAAAATTCCTGGATATATGAAAGGGAAAAAAGAGTTTTCCTTAGTGTGTCTAATTAATACAAACATATTAAGCCTATTTAACAGATACACATGTATTTACTTCTCAACAAGGATGCAAAATACATGAAAGTAACAACTTCCAGGTACTGTCTTTGTATTTATTGTTCTTTTATCTTTCATACTATGTATGATATGAGATTATGTAAAGGATCAGTTCACGCATGTATATTCTGTAATGGATAACATAAACGCAAAGTAGACCCGGATAAAGGATGAAAAGGAGTAACATATTCTCCCTTCAAAGTAGACTACTCTGAGAGTTTCAGTGAGTAGGGGTGCTGAACAACTGTAAGCAAGCCGGTAGAAAAGCAGTAATTAAGAGAAAGGGTACATGTACATGTAAATAGGTTTCAACAGTGATATAAAACACAGGGAATTGATGACGAGATGTGTGGATCTGTAGATCTGCACACGATCGAAACTCATGGTATTTGCTATCAATATGTGCAAGAGAGAGGTACATGGACAAAGAGTAACCTATAGTCATTAGAATCCTGCCTAATAAGTATATTTTTGATTATTGATAATTGAAAAACCAAGATAGGTTTGAAAAAAAGCACATAGTTAAATGTTTTTTTTCATACTCAATTTGTTTGCATACACCGTTGTAGTTACAACAATATATCATAAAAAAGAATAATGATTGCTTAAATGTTTATACGGTATTATTTTTATTTCAAAATTAGATAGGAAGGGGACACATAATGACAGTTTACTCAGGATGTAAATAAGAACGATGAATTCTCTTTCCATGAAAATATTAAATATTTGCATTGATTAATCAAGAAATAATTCTTAACAACATAATTTAAAATTTACCTATTGTACTGAGATTATGTAGCAAATACACAATGTATAGTTATTAGTGGATACCTTTTTTATCATGTGATTTCTTCTGATATAAAATCTTTTGAGTCGAGCCATCTTGTGTTCTACATCGTGCCCTATAATAATAAAAAAAATATTTAAAGGGCTGCTTAGGGTTATATTTGCCTCATACTTTGTGCATCGCATTAAAACAAATATTGATTATTTGTTTCAATATTTTTTCTTAACAGTTCTTTATTCTAATTTCAAAAAATTGAGAAAATTAAGAGGTATTGAATTAAGACATATTGAAAAAATCTTACTTTTAAGTTTATTTTAATGTTTTATTTAACAATATGTAAAATCACTTTGTGCTTAATTTTGTTATAATTACGTTCTTAAAGAGGGGTTATGATGAACGTTAAAAACTAATTAAATAAATAAATAAATAAATTAAAAAAAAAAATAAAGTCATGAGTGCCACAATATTTTTAGATTTGTTTTGTAAATCCATTGAGTCAAATATTTTCTCTATTGTAGTTTTCCACAATAAAACTCCAGTCTGTTCAATAAAAAACGAATGTCTTCTCTGTGGTAATTACATAGATAAAATAAATATGGCCAAAACACGGCCTCTGCAAATGTAAAAAAAAATGGATTCGAAAAAGTATGTACCTTAAAACAATCACCACAACGACTATCAGAATTAAAATGAAGACAGTTCCTGCAACTCCAGCTCCAATTATGGTAAAATCTGTTCCACCAAAGTTTCTCTGTCTTTCTGAGAAGTCTGTGTTGACTGCGTTATCTAAAAAAAAAATCATCAAATTGTTACCAATGAAAGAGAATTAAAACAAGAGGCCCATGGGCCACATCGCTCACCTGAACACTGTGGATAGCATGAAAGCAGAAAATTGTTTATTATTGAAAAGTTTAAAGCCAAAAATAGCCCCAACCATTCCTTAAAGGGAAGAGGGTATGATTTGCACAAACTTGAATCTATAATACCTGAGAATGCCACCATATAAATACATGTATGACCAATCATTGCTTTCTTGAGAAGCTTTTTAAAGAATTAACTTTATATTTCTATGTAAAACTTTTGTCGTCCATTGTGGCCACGCCCAACCCCCGGGGGTCATGATTTGAATAAACTTCAATCTACACTATCTGAGGATGCTTCCATATAAATATGATCAACCATAGCTTTGTTATTCTTGAGAAGAAGATTTTTAAAGAATTTTCCTAAATATATTTTATGTAAAACTTTGGTCGGTCATTGTGGACCCGCCCTACCCCCGGGGGCATGATTTGAACAAAATTGAATCTACACTACCTCCATATCTCATATCTCCATATAAGTAAAATCAATCATGGCTTTCTTATTCTTGAGAAGAAATTTTTAAAAGAAATGTCCTATGTAAAATTTTGGTCGGCTATTGTGGCCCCGCCTAACTCCTGGGGGTTCTTGATTTGAATAAATTTGAATCTACACTACCTGAGGATGATTCCACATGAGTTTCATCATTCCTAGCACAGTGGTTCTTGAGAAGAAGATTTTTTTAAATGCCATATATTTTTCACTAATTCATAATTATCTCACCTTTGAAGAGGGCGTGGCCCTTCATTTGAACAAATCTGAATCCCCTTTACCTAAGAATACTTTTTTGAAAGTCTGTTTGAAATTGGCCTAGTATTTCTTGAGAAGAAGATTAAAATGTGAAAAGTTTACAGACAGATGTACAGCTAGACAGACGGACGCCGGACAAAATGTAAAAAAAAAACATTAGAAGGAATTTTCATATATTGAATTCGTTTAAAAAAAAATCCACCATTTGTTATATCTTATAATCTAGTTCAAATATATTGATAGTGTAAAACGGGAAAATTTGGCGCATACATATTTATTCTCAAACACAAGTGGGAATGCATTAGAGCAAAATCAATTTTAGCGCTTTCACTTGTCAAAAAAATATACAAATGTGATATTTTGTTTTTATCCACACCCTTAATTGACTTTTTGGTTAGTCAAGCACATATATCCACAATAGTACTCCCATATATAAGTAAACAGCCGTTAACTTTAGCGCAGTACGTGTTGCTATCACATGTACGTTGCACAATGTTAAATATTAATTTGATTTCTATTTTCTATTAAAAGAAATGTAGTATTTACTCATTTAAAATCGTATTAAAACAATGCATGCATCGACAGAAAATTACTTCGATAAAACGGTAATCCTAATCATTCTGGTATTCAATCTGCAAACTCAATCGCTACATGTATGCTTGATTGCATTGTTTACATGTACCTCGAGGCGATAGATGGTTGACACGCCGAGAAGCCAAACTTTGAAGGTGCTAATGATAATAATCATGTAACAACTACTGGGGTAACAATAGTTTAATAAATTATAATTTGGAAGAACTTTCTGCCTTCCGAACATGTGCACTACTAGTGTGTATAAAAAATTCCAATGACCCTTCGACATTACGTAATCGCACGTTCGGTTTACATGTACTTATGTAAAAGCTTTAAACACACACACAAAATGATATTCAGAAATCCTTTAGCGCACAATAAATTTTTGCGCCCAGGGGCTCTTGGCCAAAGGAGCTAAAATTAGTAGTGCGGCAAATATCCTCGTTTTACAGTATGTAAGTACATCAAATTCTCCAACTAACGTATTTTCTTTGATTTTTTCCAGCTATGTACAGTTAAGGTGACAAATGGAAATAATAGCGATTTACTTTATATAAAAAAAATCCATACTTTACAACGATAGACGATTCATTTTAGGCCTAGGACTTCGTTGATATAAGGAAAATGTAACATGGTTCAAATTTACATGTTCAGGACATTAATTTTTACCGGTATGTAGACTTGTCACGTGATGTCGGAGTCACATGATTTTGGCAAATATACTTGCAGTTTTCGAGGTCATCTATGAATTCCAATATTGCAAGGACATTAAGTAAAAATTCTTCGTCTACTTTTCAACACTATATGTACTTTGAGAAAAGTGTAGCTATAAACCCTATATAGATTATACTATTTAATTGCTAAGATCACATTTTTTAGAAGGCAGGATGAATATGAGGTTCGCAGAACTTTTCAAATGCTTCAGTATCTCGATTTTACGTCTAAAAACTTGGCAAGATACATTGAGCGTATGCCATTGCAATAAATTAATTCATTAGGGCCTTTCTATTACTTTCTCAATGATTCTACACAACAGTTTTACTTGTCAGAATTTACAGAAATAGTAAAATTCACATCGTATTCAATTTAACGGCCTTTTATATAACAGAGAAAAAAAATTCACAACAACAGACCATTTTTAATTGTACAAAATGTGACTTGATCAACCTTTCACTGTGTGCAAAGTGTGTCAACTTTTAAAAAATGACGTCACATTGACAATTGAACTGCAATTAATCATTCTTTGACATTTCGTTGGATTTAAAAAAGACAAAACTGCATGTGATAGGACGTTTTAATCTCGTCTAGAACTATCCTGCAGTTTAGAATTGCAAAACAATTCATTTTGTGGTATTTTGAAGACTTAATATTTTTATTAGGCATCATAGTAAACATTTTCCGTAAAGATTAGTTTCAGTCTCTTTACTGTAGCCTTAACTGTGCTGCGCATCAAGCACGATTGTAGGGTTCGTTTAAATGATAATACATGTAATTTAATTTTTTTTTTGTATTCCAGTCTCTCATTGGTTGATTTCCAAAAAGGAACGCAAAATATTTCTCAGTAACCTGGTTTGGTATGGTAACACCCCCCCCCCCCTTGACAACCAGCTGAATCATCTTTATCCATGCAATCCCCTCATTTCCAGTTCTTTGGATTCATGGAAAATTCCAGATTTAATAAATGTACCTTTAACTTCAAACAGTATCTCGATCTTACCTCGTGTAAACAAACATCATGGCTGCTAGATCTGTTTCAGTTATTATCTCCCCTTGTTTCATATCACTTCCGTTACTAGGGATGTATTATTGAGCGGCAAATTTGAACTCATAAAAAGCAGCACAATTTTACACCCACATCTGTTTAATTATTCTAAAATTAAATTACAAGGAATGACTCTAATTCTTGGCCAAATAATTTGACCAAGAATTAGAGTCATTCCTTAAATGAATCCTGTAGATTCCTTATTTTTCGCGAGTATTTATTATACATATATATAATTAAAAATGCCTCTTTAAGGGTAAATCGCGAGAAAATTAATTCATGAATGGACGGTTCATCAAGAGATTTAACATTGTTTTTAGCGCCATGAAAATAAAAGCGAGTAATTTTATATCGCAAGTGGTGCTTCTCGCGAAATTACGCAGTATTGACTTCCAAGCGTATATTTAGGAATTTACAGTGGAATATTCGACCCAAGATTAAGCAGATGACACAAAAACTGTGTTCTCTTAATTGTGAACTGTACTGTGTTATTATAAAATTTACAAACAGAAGACATTAATGAGTAGCCCTTTCATACACATATACATAATTGATTATTAATGTAAAATTTTGTGTACTACGTTACGTAGCAAAATCATCAATAATTCCCATTTAATTGGGAAATAATTAATATACAATTTTCCTTTGAAGGTACCAGGGTTTCTAAGAACATGACACTTATTAAAAATTATAGCCCTTTATAATAGTCTTGATTTGAGATTAATAATTCTAAGGTCCTTAAACAAATGTTCTTTAGCCGTACCTATTGTATACTCATCTGGGAATTTATCGCCCCTTTCGCCCATGTCACAAGTGGGCAAATTTAAAACGGGACGAATTTAAAGAACGCAGTTTAAATTCTTAAACAGAACTAGGACTGGACGAATACAAATTGGGGCAAAGTATGCAAAAGTAAAGAGCGAAAATAACAGGGGGCCAAAATAACCCTGTACACAGTATATCAGTTTTAGTTATGAAAATATTAATTGTTGTTCCCCAATTATATGAAAATTATTTGAATAAAAATGTTGAACAATCAATGCCTTTAACAAAAAATATCATTATAATTTTTTTTTTTTTTGTCTTTCACTCTACAACGTAATTTTGCTTAATCTTTTGATTTAACTACATGTATTTGATACATGACACTCACCTGTCTTACAGTCATCGATGCAGCCATTAATACAAGATCCGTTTTGGCGGAAACATGCACCATCTATACAGTTTTGGCACCTCTCTGTACACGCATTTCCATAATAGGTTGCACTGCACTCTAAATATCGAAAAAGGAAAGTATCTGTACTTCTTAAATTGCTTAGACCACAACCATTAATGAAATATATTAAAGATAGAAAATCGTTTTAATATGAAAAATGCAACTTGTTTATTAATAATTTACTTATATTATTTAAGTGCAAATAAAATGAAACTTAAAATTTATTATATTTCATAGATATTGGCGGTTAGATGCAGATGTATGCGTTTGTACATGTATTTGCATTGTATTTAGATGAAAGAAAAAAAATTAATGAATGCATTAACACTTGGATATTATCTTACTCATAGTTGTTGGAAACTGGACATCAATTATTATGTATAGTGTAATTGGATTTAACACATTTACCAGATAACCGAGCCATTGTCTTACAAACATTTTTTTCTTTTATAAATTTATTCCATTTTCTTATGTTTGACGGTTGTTCAAAAAGTTCTTGGACTTCTGTCATATCTTTTTTTTTTATTTGACGCCATATGTTATCCAAATTTGGTCTGATAAATTAATTGCCATTTTTAAAGGAATAACTGTCTTATTTTTCGATTTCATGATGTGATCAATCGATTGGGTTGTGTGATAATTTGCATAAACGCCTTCGGCATTTATGCATAAATTATCACGCAAGCCATTCGATTGATCATCGTCATGAAATTGAAAAATCTGACAGTTATTCCTTATATTTACATACTTTAATTCCGCCAATCCACGTGCTCCAATTCCTGCTTTTATCTAGCTGTTTGATCCTCTCTGCACGTGTTTTTTTTTTTTTTTGGAACCGCGCCAATGCATTGATGGGGGAAATAAAGTCGATTACAATTTGTAATTTTATCTCGAACAAAGACATTGGAAATGTAAATATATACTGATGAAAATAAAACACATAGTGTGTCTATAACTGAGATATATGTACAAACTGCGCTTAGGCGTGACCTTTTTTTACTATTCATTCGAGGGGGATAACTGTGTACATATTTTATTATACTGTGATGACTTAAAAATGGTAAGATATTAAATGAACATTTAGATCTTTAGAAACAATGATTGTCCACATAGAAGTTTTGCTCAATTTGGATCTTAAAGTAGCAGCGGACTACGAATACAAATAAACAATCTTACGTACAGTGTATTTCTTTTTATTTTAATTAAAAAAAAAAAAAACAACTAACCATTGCAGTCTGGGTCTTGCCATCCTTGAATACATCCTTGATTACATGATCCATTTGAACGGTAACACGTATCATGGAGACAGAATCCGGACCGTAAACATGGTGTTTGACACAGATCTTCAAAGAATCCGGGCTTACAGCCTTCTACACAAGTCCCATTCTCTTGAAAACACGATTTGTTATAACAGTTACCAGAACATGGAGCTGTACAACTAGGTCCAAAGAAACCCGCATTACATCCATCAGTACACCTACCATTATTGCGATCACACATTCTCCGGAAACAGTGACCACTGCATTCCTTATCACATTTTTTACCAAAGTACCCAGGTTTGCAGCCATATCTATCACAATCACCACTATCGTAATTACATGGTCTATTTTGGCACTGTGAACTACATGGAATATCACATTTCTCTCCGTAATATCCAGTCTGACAATACGAATGATAACATTTTCCAGTGTATTTGTCACAGGTCGTAAAGTGGCATTTTCCACAGGATTTATTGCAAAATCTTCCCCAAAACCCCCTTTCACAATTATAAATGCATAATCCTGTGCTTATATTACATCCATAAAAATCACAATTTTCACAGGTGTATTGGCATTGTTGACCAAATTTCTTGCGAGGACAATTTAAGCAAACACCAGTTTCATAATGACAGAGAGAAGATGAACAATTCCTACTACATTTGGCACTACAGTCCTGTCCATAGTAGTACGAAGCACACTCTAAAAATAAAAGAATCTATTGATATTCAGTATTTCATTAGATGAAGTTTATCAGATATAGAATTATTATTTTTTTAATTTACGATAGGTCACAATTAGATAAAGAAACTACACATGGTCAGTATTTATATTCACAGAAAGCAATTATCCTAAATGATAGTTCATTAAGTTTAATGAAAAGCAGATTGAATATCCGTAGCACCGTTTTAATGAAATGCCAACGTTTAAGGCAAGGCTATTTTTTAAAATAAACTTGTATATGAAACACTATATCCTTAAACTAATAGTTAAAATTATCATTTATTTACGCGTTACGGTATTTATGCGAACAAACTTTGATATAGATCAAGAAAACTAATCCTCTTTAAATGGAAGTACACTTGTACTAGTATCCTGTTGCCATTAAAACTTTCTGAACAAGAATGAATATACTTTAAACAAACTACTTCAAATGATGTACAGAAATATATTTCAACTCTTCGTATCCTTAGAAAAACCTGTAAGTTTAATGTTAATAATGCAGCACGAAAGCCTGTTTAAATCATTTTAATTGAATGTTTTTTTCTCAATTTCCATACATTTCTATGCAGGATATTTTTAATTTTTAATCTGCTTATTTGCAGGTTTTCTTGTGAAAGGAAATCCCTTTCCCCACAGTCAAGCATTTTACACCGTAACGCATATACCATTTCCTATTTCTAACGCAAAATCACGCAATAACCGTTTTCCTTCAATTGTGCATTTTTCAAGTCTTTTTTTTAAGTACACTTAATCTTCAATTTGATGCCAATTCTCTTCTGTTTTATACTTTCTAAGATCTCATAAATTAAGGAAAGTTATGATACATTTAAAATATTACGTCATTAATTTTAAAGCTAAACTTTAGAGAAACTTGTACCATACCGTGCTATAAAATGCTTGCGGGGAAAAGGCTATGTCATTTCTATGCCGTAAACAATACGACTAGTGTACGGTATGTTGCGTCACTGTTCAGTAAACAGTAGTAGAGAGTTAAAGCATGAACTGTAAGCTTGATATTAGCAAAAATGCTTATTAAAAAGGGTAACTTATGGGTTAAAAGTTTAGGTTATTTATTTTCGCTAATTGTCGTAAAACTGAGACCATCGTAATTTAAAAGAAATAATCGCAAACACGAGTATGAATCAATAATTACAAGATTAAAAAGTCCAACTTTAATCATTCTTAAGGAAGTATGAATGTGAAATCGAAGTAATAGAAATCAAGTTTTCTTTCTGTTGTGAACGAGCTACAAATTATGGCGTCCGAACAAATGGATCTTCTGATCAAATATCTAGGACCAGAATCAAGAAAACATGCATTAAGCGTCAAGACATCAAATATCTTTGATTTGTCTAAGAGATTACAACGGCTCTGGGATCGCCTGGATGAACGTTATGGGGCTCCAGTACTTGTAGAGGCTTCCATTAGGGCCAAACTCTCCAAATTCCCGAAACTAGGAAATAAGAACAACGAGAAACTTAACGAGCTATCTGACATCCTCATGGAGTTACAGTTTTTAAATGAGGATCCAAAATATTCATGCATGTTATCTTATCTGAATTTTTCAGTTGGAATAAGAACAATAATTTCCAAATTACCGTATTCCATATAGGAAAAGTGGACAAACCGTGCTGTAAATTACAAAAATACACATGGCGCCATCTTTCCTCTATAAACTTTGTTGACTTTATCAAGGAGATGAGCAGAATCAGAAATGATCTCAGTTTTAAGTATCACAGTGGCAGTAACAAACAACCATTGACCGCATTCAAGGGAAAAGTGAGCACCAAAAAGACAACTGTGACCCAACAGACTGAAACAGCTAATTCCCAAGATCCTAAGGATGATGAATGTGTTATTCATAAGGGACCTGGGGTGAAACACAGTGTTGCTAACTGTAGAGTGTTCAAGTCGAAATGTCTGGAAGAACGCAGGAGACTTATGCGAGAGCATAGAATATGTTTATGTCGTTGTTCTGCAACTCACAGAAAAATTGAATGCAATGCAAACATTCAGTGCAATTAAAGACTGCGGAAGTAAATCTCACATCACAGGTTGCATGTGGACAGCGCTTCAACTTCCAGTGGCAGTGTTGAGAAAGAGAGACGTGCACCAGTCCATGGCGGGGAGGAACCCCCTAAACAACCCGTTGTTCCCAGTGAACATGTGACAACAATGAAGAGTAGCTGTATTGAAATTAGTGGAGAATTCAAAGGAAAATCCTGTGCCAGGATAGTTCCTGCAACAGTGACCTATCACGGAAAAGCTATCTCTTTATATGCTATGTTAGATTATCAAAGTAACAAGACTTTAGCAAAGAAAGATTTGGTTGACTTATTGGGCATAAAATCACAGACAATACAGTATCTGATGACATCGTGTTCTGGACAGGTGATGACATCAGGCAGAACAGAATCAGGATTGTACATTGAGTCAGCAGACCATCAGACAAGACTTCAACTTCCATGTGTTCTGGAATGTGATGAAATACCAAACAACTATTTAGAGATTCCCACCCCAGAAGTGGCAGTTCATTATTCACTTATGCAAGATATTGCGAGTTCTTTTTCACCAGTCGACACTTCAAAAAAAATCATTTTACTGATAGGGAGAGATCTTCCTCAAGCTCATCATGTGATAGAACAACGAATAGGACAGGATGTAGAACCCTTTGCTCAAAGGTCACCACTAGGCTTGACGATTATCGGTGATACATGTTTATCTGGAAAACACATTCCGAAAATCACCACAGTGTACAAAACTTCATTATTGAGAATGGCCGCAGAACTATTCTTGAACCTTGTGACCAGGTTATTTCAGTAAAGGATCAGTTTTTGAAGAATGACCTTGCCAAGACACACAGTGACGCTGATCGTGACAAGGCTTTGTTCCAGCGTACAGAGTCACAACAAGATTGGAACATCAGTAGAAGATAGAATATTCACGAATATTAAGAAGAAAGAGTTAGTCACAGGTCCAGATGGAAATTGGGTAGCTCCTTTACCATTCCGTCAACCTCGACAACCCCTACCAAACAACTATGAACTTTCGTTACGACGTGCGAGGGCTCCAGATGCTAGTCTCAAGAAAAATCCAGTTAAAAGAGACCACTTCACAACCTTTATGCTAAAGCTGTTTGATAACGATCATGCTGAAGAAGCACCACAATTACAGCGGAAACAAAAACGGTGGTATTTACCACTCTTTGGGGTTTACTACCCACAAAAACCTCATCAAATTAGGGGTGTTTTTGATTCCTCCGCCAAGTACGAAGGTACAACTTTGAATGAACAACTACTCTCTTGCCCTAGCCTCACAAACAATTTACTTGGAGTTTAGATTCGCTTCAGGAGAGAGATGATTGGAGTTGTAGCAGATGTGCAACACATGTTCCATTGCTTTACCGTAAAAGAAGAACACAGAGATTTCCTAAGATTCCTATGGTACAAGGACAGTGAAGTTGGATGCAAGTGAATAGAATATAGAATAGAAGTACATGTTTTCGGGAATAGCGGGAATAGCCCCTCCCCTGCAGTTTTTACATCAGGTTTGATGAAGATAGCTCACATGTCAAAGGACAGTCATGGTGCAGATGTATAGGAATTTATTACAAGGAACTTCTATGTTGATGATGGCTTAACATCATGTTCAACAACAATCGAGGCTATCTACTTGATACAGAGAACACAAGCTGCTATGAGAGAGTACGGAGGACTGCGGCTGCATAAGTTTGCATCTAACAGTCTGGAAGTGATGAGTGCCTTTGAGCCACAAGACTTGGTAAAGGATATTTTTGATATGGATCTCGATAAGAATCCGTTAATGTAACGAAGTCTTGGCATTCAGTGGAACGTGACTGCAGATTGGTTCAAATTCAGCATTACAACAGAAGATAAACCACTGTCACGTAGAGGCGTACTTTCAACAGTGAACAGCATCTTTGATCCGTTAGGATTCCTCTCTCACGTGATTATCAATGGTAAACTTATCCTGCGAGAAGTAGTCACAGAAACTGTAGATTGGGATGAACCACTATCAGACTACCTCATGTCACGATGGATAGAGTGGAGCTCATCACTCAAGGCTCTAGAAGATCTATGTATTCCCCATGTGACTGTACTATACCTCAGTAAGGCTGTGAGAAAAGAACTTTGGACGTTTTGTGATGCCTCAGAGAAAGCAGTAGCTGCTGTTTCTTATGTGAATGTACTCTACCCAGATGGTTCCTCTAAAACTGGATTTGTGCTCAGGAAGTCGAAGGCTGCACCAGTGTCTGGTCACAGCATTCCACGCTTAGAACATTATGCAGCCGTATTTGCCGTAGAAATTTCACAAACTGTCACAAAATATTTTGATGTAGTGTTTGATTCAGTGAAGTACTTTAGTGATAGTCGTTTTATACTTGGCTATGTAAACAATGACAAGCGACGATTCTTCATCTATGTATCTAACAAAATGGAAAGAATACGGAGTTTCAGCAACCCAGATCAATGGCACTTTTTGCCGACTCATCTCAACCCTGCTAATGAAGGTACCAGAGGAGTGTCACCAGGGGACGTAGCTACAAGTACTTGGTTAAATGGACCAGTAGATGTTCATCTGAGTGATCAGGATGATCAAACCATAACCTTTCCACTAGTTGAACCTCAAGTAGACAAGGAAATCCGACCCACTTGTCTAAAGACAGAGTGCAGACCATTGTTGGGCACTTCGAGATTAGAGCGATTTTCTGACTGGGATCGTTTGGTGAAGAGCCTATCATTATTAAAACGCTTTATAGTGTACAGGAATGAAGACAAATCACTGATTTTGCCAAAATCATTGAGCTACTATCAACGGGCTGAGCACTTCTTGTTCAAGACAGTGCAACAGGAAGTCTACGCTGAAGAAATTGACTGCTTGCGCTCAAGTCAACCATTACCGAAGAACAGCAGCATACTTACCTTAATTAGACCCATTCATCGATGACGAAGGAATCATCCGAGTAGGTGGACGTTTGAAGCACCTGCAAATAGATGCTATCTGCAAAAATTCTATCCTACTGTCAGGGAAGCACTACTTAGCAACCTTGTTGATTCGCAAATGCCATCAACTAGTTAGGCATCAAGGTCGACATTTTACAGAAGGGAAGTTAGATCAATGGGATACTGGATAACAGGCTGCACGCGTCTCGTTTCTTCACTTATTCACAAGTGTGTAACTTGCAGAAGACAACGAAGGCAATGCAGCATCCAGAAAATGTCTGACTTACCAGAAGATCGCATTGAACCGGGACAGCCACCGTTTACGTCAGTCGGTGTAGATATCTTCGGGCCATGGGAAGTGTTTCCTCGTCGAACCAGAGGAGGTTCCGCAAACAGCAAGAGATAGGCGGCATTGTTTACTTGTCTGGTGACACGTGCCGTACACATTGAGGTCCTGGAGGAGATGTCTTCCTCGTCCTTTATCAATGCCTTGCGTAGATTCAACGCCTTACGAGGATGTGTGAAGGAGTATCGTTCGGAAAGGGAACCAACTTTATTGGTGCTGTTGATCCACTACGTATCAATGCTATCAACATAGAGGATCCACCAATCAAAGACTTGCTGTACTCAGGAGGATCTGTCTGGATCTTTAATCCCCCCATACGTCACACAAGGGTGGCGTATGGAAGCGAATGATTGGAGTAACACGCCGTATCCTAGACAACATGTAAAGGAACATGGCACTCACGGACTCACCCATGAAGTTTTATCTACTTTTCTTGCAGAAACGAGTGCAATTATAAACTCGCACCCTCTGATCTCCATTCCTTCAGATACAGACTCACCTTTCATTCTCACTCCAAACATCTTGCTTACTCAAATGACAGACACTATGAATGATGAAGTTTGCAACACAGATGCTAAGGATCTACTAAGAGTGCAGTGAAAAAGAGTTCAACGCCTTTCCAAGATGTTTTGGGACAGATGGAAAACAGAATATGTGCACACATTACAGATTCGGAAGTAGTGCCATCAAGATCAAAGAAACGTTAATGTGAGTGATGTCGTACTGCTCAAGGACGTAGAAACTCATAGAAACATGTGGCCTCTGGGGCTTGTGATCAAGGTCTTTCCCGGTAAGGATAACCTAGTTCGCACGGAGGAAGTTCGCGTCAGCAAGGACGGAAAGACTCTAACATACATCAGACCAGTGACGGACTTGGTAGTTTTCTTAGAGGAGTGAACTCTTGATAGTGTAAACTTTGTGATATCAAGACAGATATCAGAGGGGGAGTGTTTTGGCTTCATTTTCATTTTTTACTATTTGATTATATTTTATAGAATATTCTAAAGAACGGACTAATATTTTTCGTACGACTTAATTTGTTCAAGATTGCCGCCATACTCATTTGTTGAATTTGTCGTTCTGTCAGAACCTCGGCTATCTACAGTGTAAGTTGATATTAGATTTTATTTTATGTTAAATCTCTTGGTTATTATCTATATTACTTGTGTGTTAAATGCTATAGATGCTAACTTTTGCATTTTCTGAAATTTTGTAAAATCTTTTAATTCCATGTGTTCAGAGTATGGCGCGCCATAATGTACATCAGTTTTTTTTAAAATCGTGTATTGTCATCTGTAATTTCGAGAGAATTCATATGATAATCTTTTTTTAAGTAATATGCTTAACTTTATACACAGTTTAAGAATTTTATTATTGTACAACATGTTATATCTGCTTGCTTTGCTTATAAGAACACCTGTTTGTGAAAATTTTTCTACGGAAAGCCATAGCTGTCACAATTTTTCTCATTTTGTTATTACAGCTTTTTACCATATCCTTATATAGTTGTCTTTCTGCTGAGTGTTGAATAAAGTCATTATTGCCGCATAACATTTATCAAACATGTAACATATTTTTTTTAAATTTAAAAAAATATTTTTTAATAAATTCAACACTTTACTTGCAGTGCCACACATAACGTCTAATTTTTCTCACCAAAATACGTAAGTTGTAGATTTTAATCTAATTAAAAGCACAGACAGAGTAATGGAGATAGAAAAAAAACAATTTATTTTCATAAACTATAACAATCAATCAATGCGTACAGATTTTAGAAAAAAAAAGAGTGGGGCCATTTTAAAAAAAAATATTTAGCCTGAAATTCATCTGATATGCTGAGAACTTTATGTTTGTGACTACTCTTAATTTGTCTTCATTTACAATTCAATAAAAAAACAATATAAATATAAAATGAACATAGTTCAATATTTTATGAACTATTTATTACTTGAACAATATTTATTTGTAAAAAGAAAAAAAGTTAATGTTTTATTAAATGCCCTCCATAGCCATGCACCTATCTTGTCCATCGATTCGACACAATGAAATATGAGAAATATGAATTGTTATCACATATTTTACAATATGCAGAGTAATGGAAGTAAAAAACGCATAGGTTTTTCATAAAATAAATCAACAAGCAACTTTTGTGTCCAAGTTTCAGTAAAAAAATATAGTGGAGCCATTTCGAAAACATTTAGCACGAATTACCTCTGATCATGAACAGCATTTGTCTGCATAATTTTCATGTTTACGACAACTCTTAATTTGTATCCATTTACAAATCAATAAAATCAATCTAAATGAAAAATGAACATGGCACAACTTTTATGATCTATTTATATTACCTGAAAAACTTTCAGTTGTAAAATTAAAAAAAGTGAATGTTTCACAATTTATGTCCTTACAATGCCACTGATATTGCCCATTACCTAGCAACAGAAAATAAGATATATATGAATCCCCGTCACATATTTTACTACATGAAGACTAATGAAAATAAAAAAAAACCATTGTATTTACATGAACTATAACAACAATCTATGTGTTTAAGTTTTAGAAAAAAAAGACTGCAGCCATTTTGAAAATATTCAGCCCGTATTTCCTCTGGAACAGATTTTCTCCGCAAAATTTTCATGTTTTACAGATTAATTATAAAAAGATTTCAATTATTTTTCCAAATTATACAATATATATTAAAAATTAATCTTATACAAATTGTATGAAATGATACCATACCTGAACTTTTATTTCAGGTATATTAAACGAAAAAAAATTGTGTTGTTTATGAGACCTGGCTTGATTAGTTTAAACAATGGAAGAGTGTCTAGAAAACTATGAACCTGTGTGAAATTTTTTTTTTATAATTTTGCAAAACAGTTTAATGCATGAAAAAGTACAGAAACATAATTTCTTATATTATGATCAAGTAACACCGCACTGTCATTGATATACAAAAATTCCATGAAGCTTGTTAGACTTGACGGTTTGTTCAATGCTTTTATCTCCTTGTCATTGTGGTACATTTTCTTTCCCTTTGTCTTAATTCCAGTTATTTCTCTTACTTTTGGACAAATTGGAGTCGTTGGTAGTACATGTAAATATGCACTGGTTGGAGTGTTTCTCTACATTGATGGCCGAAATTTGTGGTATATGTGTAGTATATGTTCTGGCTAAAATAAAATAAAATAAATTATAACATATTCATTTATTAAGGTAAACTTAATTAGAAAAGATATGGTTTTATGAACGTTTTACTCCCCTACCAAATACAATATATTAAAACAATACAAAAGAATACACATAAGTGATGTATCAAGAACCATTTAAAAACTATGCATATAAGACTTGATTTTATCAAAAGTAGGTCAAGTTTCAGAATCTTATAATTAGTACACATATGCCTTGGGTTTTTCAAAAAGTTGGTCAAATTAAATGATGAAGGTAAAAAAGATTACCCATAAAAACCTACAGAAACCTGTTGCTGCAGGAATTTTGTCTATATCATGGAAAACTCATCTAAAGCACATGCAGAAGTATGCAAAGTCCTTTCCCTAACTTCATCTGTAGACGAATTCTCCTGCCTGTAAAATAACAAGGATATTCGAAGTTCAACCCGTCCTTGTACAAGAGAAATTTTTAAAAACTTATGCCCCCTCTCCCAAACAATTTGACATTTTCTAAGTCGGAAGCATACCTCTGTCATAAATGGCTTGATCATAACCAAAACAGAAGCTGGCCTAATAAATCTGTATATCACGTGTAATTTCAATGTGTGCAACCTATGCAAAGAAAATGAACGGAAACTGATGGTGGACCAACACACTGACTAACCGGCCAACAGAAAGCAGGAAAGCAATATAACCCCCGTCTTCATGGGGGGGGGGGGCATAATAAACATTTTGAAAAGTAAAAAGTTAGGTATGGAAAAGAAACCCGCAACACACCTACCCCTCATTGTTGCTATTTCACATACCTTGATCATGATTTCATACACCTATTAAATAGATTAAAAAAAATCATACCTGTATGTACAGTTATCGGTAATGAATTAGGTATATAAAAATCTTAACACAGTGACTATAAGTTTCTTGAAAATTGTCCAGAAGTATACTGAATGATATGACCTCAAATGTGATCTTGACACTTACTGTAGTACTCACTAGGAATTGACTTTCCATTTAACTTATGAATAAATGTAAATGACAAGAAATTTGGCTATTTAGCAAATGATTTTGAAATAAAACGCCTTAACAAAAAATGTGTCTTAAATTTATGCATACAAACATATTTTCCCTACCACAACTCTAACATTATAATTTTTAATGTATATTTTTATCTCTTGGTCTTTAATATCTGAAATTTCACAACGTGTAAATATAGATAAAGGAATTTATCCGAAATAAAATTACCAATATAATTCTTTTACAATGTAAGTTAAACTTAAGTTTGAAGTTCAATTAAACTCGTCTTCCAGTTTTTTACTGTATGCCCATGTGGTTACCTATGCACTTTTTTTTTTGGTTTGAAGTTTTCAACACAATTTGGGTAAGCACAATGTATCATATTCATTCAATTTTTAAAGACATATTTTCCATCAGAAAATCTCTCCTATTCATACATGGATCTAAACTTCTTCAAACTTTTGCTTCAACATT